ACAGACATCAAACAGCCTTACCTTGGTGAGATTCAAGGCTGTCTGCTCCGAGAGGGGCTTACTGGGTAAGCTGAAGGATACATTTTGGAGGTAACTCAGGATAACTCCGGGACTTTGGAAGGCTTTTCTCTCTTCTGTCAGGTTGGTTATGATGGAATGGTAGGCATCTGTGGGCATCTGAAAGAAATTGGCAACATGAGTTTCTACTAAGAACTAAAATCAAAATATTATACAGAAGTTTAATGTGTCCTACTCTGGGTTGAATGCTTTATTTATTTATTTATTTATTTATTTATTTTGAGACTGAGTCTTGCTCTGTTGCCCAGGCTGGAGTGCAGTGGTACAATCTCAGCTCACTGCAAGCTCCGCCTCCCGGGTTCACGCCATTCTCCTGCCTCAGCCTCCCGAGTAGCTGGTACTCCAGGCGCCCGCCATGTCTCAAGTCCCTGAACACATTTCTCTGCATGTTCTTTTGGACCCCCCCCCCCCCCCGGCTGACTCCTTTGCTTGGGCTGCTTTTGTGGGAGAGAGAAACTTCCATCAGGAAACTGTCTGATCATTTTGATCGAGGAGTACATTGTCTGGGAAGAAATACAAATATGGAAGGCGAAGCCACTCCCAGTCTAATTTTGGTGTAAGAGTGATGATGGGAAACTTCGTTCCTGCACAGGAGCCTTCTCAAGGTGCCAAAAGAAAATGCGTGGGCACCGTGGCCATGGGCTCCAATGAGTGGGGAGTGAGGAACCTGCCCCGCTTGGCTTCTCTTTGTGCCATTTTCGTTTGATGTCTGAGAGGAAAGCTCACTTCATTAGGAAGGATTCTTTTGGAATTGTAGTTGTGAAACTCAAAAGGAACTTTCTTTTTGAGAATGTTATATTAATAGTGAGTGCTAATCGCTCTGACCTATTGCTTGGGTTCAAATCCAGCTGTACATTTTTTTTGTGTAAGTTCTCTGTGCTTAGTTTCACCTTCAAATGGGGACTTATTTATAAGGTTGTTGTGAGGATGATATGTTATCAAGCAACAATATTCACAAAAGGGTGTGAAAACCACGGATAATAGTAGCAAGCGTAAATTACTTCATGGTATAAACACATTGACCAGTGGATGTGG